CTGTTCGTTTGCGTCGGCACTCGATTTTCGAGTGCTACGAGAAACGAATTTCAGCGAGACGGCGATTAAGCACGATCGTACCCGTTCGATTGAATCTCGACGAGAATTTCCAAACTGTACCGTTGTTCTATTTGTCTATCGTTGATCTGTAGATGACAATCAACGATGTATTTAAGTCGGGAGACTCGAACAATATGTGATTTACACCTTCTCGAAATTCGTGCTAGCATCTGCTGACATTAGCTGACTCCCAATTCTTGCATACATCGGGTATTCGGCAAGTGCTGTATTGAAAGAAAGATTTTGCTGAAGTATTCAAAAACTTATCTGATAAAGGAATGTAAAAGTAATGAATTTTAAGACTGGACATTGAGACAATACATTTTATTTTCCTTTTCTCGAACAAAGTTTTAAAGAAATTTAAATGTACATACACTGAAAAAGAATCTAGTAATAACTAATGTTAAGTAAAATAATTCAATTAAATTAAAAATTTTATTAATATAAAATAATTTCAAGCAAATGTTGAATTAAAAATAATTTTACTTTTCCAAATATTTAGTAAATATTATCAAATATAATATAATCAACCATTTGCTATTAATTATTAAATGTTTAGCAAAGAAAAATTATTTTTTGTTATATTAATTCAACATTTGCTTGAAGTTATTTTATTCAACATTTGGTGATTATTACACTCTTCTTTTAGTGTAACATAAAGAATGTAATTGAATTGGTCCAACAAATCAATTCTAGAGAGTTAAGTCCAAATATTCAAGAAAAATGTCTGTGGAAGAATAAGCGAGAGAGAGAGAGAGAGAGAGAGAGAGAGAGAGAGAGGCATTCTCCATAAGAAAAATTCTGCAACCATTTATACATTCATCCTCCGTAAGAAAAATTCTGCCACCGCCCACGAGCTCGTATAATACTGATGGCATGGAAAGAAGAAGGGAACGTTCGAGAACCGGCAGCATGTGTTTCATACCGTTTTTCAGCGGCTGAACATACGGCTTCTCTCTTCGCCGCCGCCGTCGTCGCGAGACGACATTAAACCAAAACCGATGACCCGCGCGAGATTCCGGGTTACGAAAACACAGGCTGATATGGGGCAAGGAAACATCGCCAAGTCGTGTCTTGGCGACTGGCGCCTTCGCGCGTTCCTTGGTAGTCGGCTGAAAAGAAATATACTGGCTGCCGGGAGACGGCTGATTAATTTATCTTATTGCGCGCCCGCATTTAACGACAACCGCCTTTAGCATCCATGTGTCGTTCTTGCGTTACTGAAAAGTTGAATTTACACTCTTGATGATCGTTTGAAATGAGCTCGTTGGTCGAGGGTTTTGTCTCACGTAGACATATGTTTTGGTAAAATTTCACTTGAACGTGCTATAATTATTAAGAGAGAAATTCAGTACGACAAAATAAATAGGTGAAGTTGAAATGTAAGATTGATATTATTTAATTTATATGAACAATACAAACATATAAATTCTTTGAATCGTAAATTTAATATTTTATTTTTCTAAAGAAATAAAAATTTTATCTTAATATTTAAGATACCCTTTCAATTTAACAAGACTATTTGAAAAGAACATTCTAATTCATCAAAATAATCTCTTTGCATTTTCCCTGCCTAAGAAATCTTTATTTATTTCCATTTTTTGACACTAATCAGCACTTGTTCAATCTTGTATTACTTGCACAATTCTTGTAAACGTAATTAGTAATTGTTTGCGTGGAGTATTTTTGATATTCCAACATTATGTCTAAATTTTCATTATTCTTTTTAATCGTTAATACTTAAATAAAGGTTGATAATTCTATATATCCTTGATACAAAGATACATGTAAAAAGATTTATTACCTTAATGATCGTTCGAAATGAACTTGTTCGTTCCATACATTTTATTTGAACGTGCTATTATATAATTATTAAAAAAGAAGTATTTAATACAATAAAGTAAATAGAATAATCGAAAAGGTAAAAATATAAGATTAATGTTACGTTTTTAATATATATATTTCATAAATTATATTTATGTGATGTATATTCAATTTTATACATATTTCAATGATACAAGTATATCAGCACCACCTTAAAATCTTCAAAACATAAAAATCGTTTAATAATTTTTATATATTTATGATGAAAATTAATCCAGAACATGATCCAACGTGTGTAAAGATATCAAAATTATAAGATGTATATTAAAAGTTAAAATAAAATTACTTAAAATATATATTTTTTAAATAAAAAAATAAAAGAGTTATTTAGTATTTATTTTTATTTTAAATAATTACACTTCTGACTTATTTCTTATTTAATATTTTAAATAAGTTTCCGAAACCTATTTTTATACTTTAAATAAGTTTCTGAAACTTATTTCATATTTTTTATTTTAAACAAATCGTAACAATTATTTTACCGAACCATTACAGATAAAAATTCTTCAAACATAGAATAATTTGTAGCAATAGTAATGTCATAAATTTATTTTTTAGCTAAAAAATTAAATAATGATTAACAAGATATTTAACATTTTTAGCTATAGCTGTATTTAGCGCAAATTATTTCACATGAATAAAAAAATTTGCATGTATTTTTATCAAGGATATAGAATTATCAACTTTTATTTAAGTATTAATGATTAAAAAGAATAATGAAAAAAGAGACATAATGTTGGAATATCAAAAATATTCCACGCGAATAATTACCAATTACGTTTACAAAAACTGTTCAAGTAATACAAGATTGAACAAGTGCCAGAGATGCTACAAAGCAAAGCGTGAAATGTACGAGATGATCCGTTTGTCAAAATCATGTAAAATACGAATAATTTAATAAACCGTGAATATTTTTCATACGCAATAGTTGAATATCTAAACGGCGGTGAAAAGCGAAGGGGAGCGGCGCGCGGGTGCCGCGCGGCGCGGTAGTTGACTACGTCATTACTTCGGCATTCGCTCGGCGACCGCAGTGGGAGACGGCAGTGATACGAGTCGCTCTAGTTGTAGCGCATTAATCTGCATTAATCCACGAAAATTAGATATCCACGAACGCGAATTGATGAATTATGTAAGGATGCTCAACTAGTAATATCGCCTAAAATTACCTAAGGTGTGTACTAAGGATTATATTTCAATCTTTATTACTTTCTTTGATGAGTCACTTAAATAAAGATTAATTATGAATTATATATTCTTAAATAAGATAAACGCTAACATTTTGTAAATTATAAAACAATTTAGACTCAATATAATAATGGGTATAAATGGAATTCATATTATACATTTACAGATATATAAATTAGAGATATCTAGACGGTATTCATAGTTCATTTCTATTTCAAGACTGTCTTAAGTAATGTTTTAAGACGATCCTTTGATTCGCGACTTCTTAAAACTGTGTTCTTAAGAGTTTTGAATTAAACTCTGACTATGAATATCGCCCCAAGATATAGATAAGTTGTGTACGTAACGAATCCAAGATATAAAACAAAAATCGTATAATAAAACATCGTATAATATTCATCGAAGAATATTAAAACGACTAGATTATTTTACTGAATTTGTAATATACGTTAATATTTCGACAGTTAGACGATCGGCGCACGACCTTGGAGTGGGGATGGCACGGGGTGGCACGAAGCGGCGCGTCATGTTTACGCGGCGCGTCATTTTCACGCGTAGTAACATGTTGACGCGCCGCTCCGTGCCATCCCGTACCATCGTCATTTCAAGGTTGCGCGCCGATCACCTATCGAAATATTAACGTATATTACAAATTCAGTAAAATAATCTACTTGTTTTAATATTCTTCGATGAATATTACACGATGCTTTATTATGCGATTTTTGTTTTATGTCTTGGATTCGTTACGCACACAACTCATCTATATCTTGAGCTGATATTCACAGTCAGAATTTATATTCAAGACTATCTTAAGATAAGTTTTAAGAAGTCGCGAATCAAAGGGCCGTCTTAAAACATTACTTAAGACAGTCTTGAAATAGGAACGAACTATGAATACCGTCCTTAGATATCTCTAATTTATATGTCTGTAAATATATAACATGAATTCCATTTATACCCATTATTATATTGAGTCTAAATTGTTTTATAATTTACAAAATGTTTGCGTTTATCTTATTTAAACAATGTATAATTCATAATTAATCTTTACTTATTTTTTTAAGTTTTAATCTATATCTTGGGCCTTGGATATTCTAATTATTCATAATCTAACTAACGAAATATTAATGTTAATGCGTTTTACACAATCAGTAGTACACGTATCAGTAACGATAGGGCTACTTATCTGTATCATACGAATCATAAAAAAGGAACGATTTAATATATGAATACTCTCATACAATAATTTTTTGTTCTTATGTACCTTTCGTTATATGAGGATCTGTTTAAAAATTTACCGTAACTTTGGAACTTATCGGTAATAAAAGAAACATTTCGTTAATAAAAGAAATATTTCATTTTTTTATTAATCTCTATTTTATTCCAGACTCTAATCATATCATCTATGTATAAATAAGATTCAGTTTTTTATCTGTTTTGACTTTATTTCGACTTTAATGATAACGAATTGCAAATGTGATATTCGTTTTTAAAAATTAACCGATTGCATAGTAATTGCATAGTAATATAGATAATAGCTATATATTACATTTTTTAGATTATCTTCCCTCTCCGGGTACACCTTGACGTGGTGAGAGGGCTCAGTATCCAGAGGATATTTACATGAAAAGAACGATTTTTCTCAATTATCTAAAAATTTTCGGATATACCTGAATGTAATACAATCTAGAAAAATTTTTAAATATTGAGTAAAATCGTTCTCTTCGTGTAAAAATCCAATGGGGAAGCTAACGTACCCTCGTCGCCGATTTACTTGAAAATAAACGAACTGTAGCCAGTTCGTCGCGTCGCGCGTTTCGGGAGTGCCGTTCAAGTTATCGGACTCAAGTCATAGTCCACGCGCGTTTATAGTGTATTATTCGCGAGTGATTTACGCGAGTGATTTACGCGAGTGTCTTGTGCAAAAGGATTATATGGATTACCAATCCGATTCTGAGAGGAGGAGGAGGTCTGGGAGAGGCATCAGGCACTGGCGGAGCAATCTTGCGGTAAATATTTTTTGCTTATGTAAAATCAATATCTTCTATTTATTTTTGAGTCGTTTTATTTTATAATGATTTAAAAATGATAATTAGAAAAAGGATTATTTTGAAGTTATTTTAAAATTTCATATATACGAATTTTGAAGATCTGTTTTAAAAAATACATAATTATTTTATAAATATCTAATTCAATGATGAATTAAAAAATTTGATGCTTATAAAAATTATATATTTTGAAAATTATATAATTATTTTCAAGAGAACTTTACATTTAGTAAATATTTTTTAAAATATTGATTGATTTTTTCTGCTCTGTTTTAATTTTGATTTTATATTCTTCTTGTTACAGAATCATCGTAACAGTGACTCCGCTGTTGCATCGGTGAGTGATGCATTAATTTTTTTATTGAGATAATGGACGTAAAAAAGTGGGCCATTAATCTTTAAATAATCTTTTAATAATCTTTAAATAATATCTTTAAATAGCGATAACTCAGCGAAAAATTATCGTATTGAGATAAACTACATTTCAAATTAAAGGCACAAAAGTGTATGAGTTTTTAACTTTATTGATTTCCAAACAAATCCCTCCTTTGAACACTTTTTTACGATTTTTTTTTTACAAAGACATATCATGTTATAAAATGGACTTTTTCTTGAACATAAAGACATATCGTGTTATAAAATGGACTTTTTCTCACACAAAAAAGTTGTTCGTTTTTAATACACTTTCTTTAAAACGCTATAACTTTGTCATGTTCAAAAAAGGGATTTGTTTGGAAATCAATGAGCTTAAAGACTAACATACTTTTGTGCCTGGCAGTCAATTTCTCTGAGCCACGCAATAGTTTGAATAAGACATTTTTTTTATCTTTCTATGTCCGTCTTTAACGTCCGCCATTTCATAACATATTTTGTGTAATTCAAATTTAATTCTCATTTTCAAGGGGAATATTCAAGCTTTAATTTGAGATGTGCTTTATCTCGATACTATGATTTTTCTTTGAGTTATCGCTATTTAAAGATATTTGCTGAAATTTAGTGGCCCACTTTTTTGCATGTGAATGTATTTCAAGTCCTTAATTGTTCAAAAAGAACATTTTCTTTCTTGATGTTGAAAGATTTATCTTTTAATTTATTACACGATATCAAGTACGTGAGATATCTTTTTACGTCAAAAAGTTATAATAGCACAAACGAGGTTGATGAGGCATGTGACAATATTAGGAACGAGCGAGCTCCCGAATTCGTCTTGCGCGTGAAATCCACTCTCTATTTATAACGAGGCGCGAGGGCTATGCGTCAAATCCTCTCTTACCCCCTGCGGAGAAACCACTGGCTCACTCGCCAGTGACAAAGACTGGTCCGGGGTTCAAAGTACCTAACATGCGTACAGCGCGTAATTCCCCGGAACCCAGAGGCTGCACCTGCACGTCGACACGCGGATGCATGCGTGTGTCCGCGCGACTAACAACGCGGACCGGCCACGAAACTGCGCAGTGGCTGTCGGTCGTCGTGGTCCTCTTCTCTTCGTTGTCATCGCCGTCTTCGTCTTTGCGATCTTCGTCGAAGGCGTCGCGTTGGCGCGCAGATAACGCGTGACACACTGGGAAACTCTCAATGTCGTTCCTCGCCCCGCGTATTTCCTAAACGCTCGTCTTTTAGAAAGAGTGCGTCTTCTTCGAGAGGGGTTCGTTCTCGGTATTAGAGAAATAGATAAATATAACTCTGCGTACGTGGTGTGTGGAATACGCGTAACTGAAAACGGTATTTCGTATTATGTGTGAACGCGATGCAATGAAGTCGGACTCATGTACTTTATTCGTAGCGATTACCGTCTATAGAAACGTGCAAAATTGATATTACAAAGAAGAGTCAACAGTTTCTCTTTAGAAATTTAGACACTCCTTTTACAGTATCAATTTTTGAACGCTTTATTTAATAATAATTATAGAAAGTATAATGAATATTAAGTGAAAAGGTATAATTTAAATTCAGTTGAATATTCAATTTTGCAGATATTATATTTCTTCTTATTCAATATTTGTTATTTTTTTAAATTATTGCAAATAAAGCATAAAATTGAAAATTGATACTGCAAAGAAAAATTAACAATCTCTCTTTAGAAGATATCAACTTTGACCATTTTATTCGCAACAATTACAGAAAGTAAAATAAATTTTCTGGAATCTATGTAAATTTCTGGACAATCTATATAAATTTACAATTAGTATTATTAAAAAGAACATCACTGGCACTAATAGTAATTTAACTGAATTTTTAGATATTAACAGTTACATATTTACAATTATTTTCTAATTTTATTATAGCAGTATACTTAAAAGAAACTGACTCTAATTCATGTAGTTTCACTACATGAATTCATATACTACTGTGAAGTCATACTTCATATCTCTACTTTATAATTATTGAATAAAATATTTTTGGGGAGAAGAAATTATTACACAAATATTAATTCTCTTAAAAAGCTTGACTTTTTAATTATGAAACCTTTTATTCATGCCATCGAACGAAATCATGAATAATGCATGATATCACTGGTATTAATCGAAGGCAATGCTTTTTAATAGACGTTTTAATAAAGCACAAAATATTAATCATGATATACAATCGCTATTTATCGACGCAATTATCTCCTTATAACAGATTAATTTCCCAATTGATCATTTGATGTCGAAAGCGATAAAACAGTCGCGGATTGAACTCCACCCCGATCTCATGAACGCGTTTACGCGTTAAATTAGAGTGCCGTGCTCGCTGCTCGCGCTAAGTGCATCTACAAGGTACAACGAGAAGCCATTGCAACAGCACGACACAGCACGGCTCTTAAATTACTCGCGAGTCGTTGCTTCGGGGAGAGGAGAGGCAACGAGTTGCGTCGACTGTACGCATATCCGAGCGGGTGCGTCCTCGTGGCTCGTAACTCTTTTTCTCTCGTTTACCCTCTCGTTCCTCACTGGATACTCTCCCGTTCTCTCGCTTTCATGGCGAGCCCAACAGCTGTTCGCGCTTTGACATGTCACTGGCCTTGCCCGCTCGCTTCGGCCGTTCGGTCCCTCGTTTGCCTACTCGGTCATTTATCCATTGCTCTTCCTCTCTGTCTGTCTTTCATTCTTTTCTTTTCCTTCTCTTCTTGCTCTCGCCGAGTGATTCACGTGTGTATTCACGTGCGTTCACTGACACGTGTCTTATCTTTCTCGGAGTGCGTTTTAGTTGCGTATTATACTTATGACCAGAGCAAGGAAAATTGAGGAGGATAATCAAATATCGGATAAATATTAGGAATATTTTAATTTAATAGAAAAGATGTTTTTGTGTAGTGATTACGAATATTTTTATTGCCTTGATGTCCATCTTATACAATTTTAATTTGAATGTTTTGTTACTCTGGTAGGAATACAGTTTTCCTAGATACTCATTCAGTTACTGTTTAATACTGTATTCTTATTAGTTGTAACATTATTGCATAAAACTTCACATACTGAAAAATGAGTAAAAATTTGAGTTTTATTCAGTAGTATAATTATATTTGTAATATATTTTATTTATAATACAAAATATATTCCTTTAACTGCAGTTCTTTAAACGATGATGAAATGTGCAATTTCGTGCTTTGCCTTCTCAATATTCACCTTGCATAAATATATCGCATCATCGGATTTTAGTCCGTCAGGTTCAGCTTCTTTGATCAGGGGGAAGGAGGGTATTAGAATGGTTTTTCTCTCTCTCTCTCTCTCCCCCTCGCTTTTCTTCCCTTTTTCGACCCCGCGCTATCTTTCGACAAGACTTCCCTCTCGTTCCTCTGATTCCTCGTTGATTTTTGCGTCTCTCTTCCACACCCTCGTGTCTATCGCGCTCTTTCCTATCGAGAAGTACATAATCCTGAAGGCCTAATAACATATTCCTCTGGGGAGAGCAGGTACGGGGCAACACTCAGGCTTATATCTCCCACGCCGCGCGCGTCGAGAACGGGGGTAAGCTTGTCCACCCTCTTTCACGAGCGGTTCTACCCCTCCGATCCAATTCCATCTATCCGTAGGGGTTGTCGACTACCGTGGTCAGGGGGAGGGGGGGGGGCGGAAACCCGAGGGATGCCATGGCGCGGGCGACCCTCCTTACCCGCCTGTCTTCCTTTTCCCTTCGCTCCTTTCGGCCGCGCCATCTCGACGGGGATGGAAACGTCTATCGAAGGTCACACGAAATTGGGTAGTTCACGGGCTATTACCTTCGCCGATCGCCACTAACGATAAATTTCGCGATGCGAGAGGAGCCGCGTGGACGAGTTTTGCCATAGCAGCGGAATTTTCTGCAGTCTCCTGCTCTGCGAAACGCTATTCTATATATTATATTAGGTGTTGGAATTAATTCGTAGCGTTTTACAAGTGATGGGATCTATATATTATATTAGGTGTTGGAATTAATTCGTAGCGTTTTTAATGAAAGAATGTTATTTATTTCACATGAGCATTAAAAAATACATTAATGAAAGTACTTCCCATCACTTGTAAAACGCTACGAATTAATTCCAACACCTAATACATTCTATATATTAACATACCATTCTTCGATAAGGACGAAGAGATTACATTATATATCTTCAATAAAAGATGAATATTAGAAAAAAAATAATGATTTAAGTTTATTTTTAATATAAATTATTTAACTGTAGACCTTTTTAATGCACTTTTGGTTTCTTAAATAATTTCATGGGATGCATTAATCTTTTGTTTACTTATATCCAAGTAAAATACTTAATTTAATAATCAAATTGATGTTTGTAATAGAAAAAAAATATTCGTTTTATTTAATTTTAATGTGAATAATATACTTAAAATTTTCAGTAGTTATTCCTATAGTATTCACTTCACTAAGACTAAAGTACCTATCACTCGGAGAACTATTTCCAGTCACTGTCCGAGAACTGAGAGGGTCAATATGTGATGAGTTATAACTATGTGTCATACATTTATAATGTGCGGAATAACTCAATATTCGAGGACTCGTTCGCAACGAGTGAGATCCGCCTGCTGGAGTTTAGGGACGCCGCTAATAAATCAGAGTATCGGCTAATTTGGTTATCTACCTCTCAGTTCCTACCCTTCTACCCTCTCCACGCGATGGTCCCATTCCCTCTTGTCCCTTGTGCCCTCGGGAAAAGTCCCTTTCGATGGTCGGAAGTTACCAAGCGAAATTCGTTTCTCTCGTTTGCGCATTAGCATTTTAATGAATTTCGGCTCCTAAAGTCGAACTTTCTGAAGCGGCAGCGTGGCGCCGTCGCGAGAGACGCGAGAGACGTTGAATTCGGATGCGAATGTGGGTCACCACGGTCCCCGAAGGATCGACGACGACGATGTAACGAAT